GTAGGGAAAAGTCCTATGGCCCGATTTGTACCGTTTCAGATTTATACCTTTCCATGGTTGGTTACTATGACTGTGTTAAATTTCATGCAGATCGCTTCAGCCGTTCAGGAGGAGTATTTGTAATAAAAAAGCAGGAGTGTAGTATAAGAGCTTCGCTCGCTTCGCTCGCTCCGCTCAATGAGCCAGCCAGTGTTTACATTTGTTTGTTTACATTTGAACAAATGACAGTTTAATGAAACTTAAATTTTTTGTATTACATCTGTTAATTTTGTAAACACTGAATTCCTAAAAATAGTTTTCTGTGCTGCACTCTGTAGAAACACTGTGGCACTATTTCAAATCATGACTAATGCTAATACAGAATGTTGTGATTATTCAAACCTACAAAACAGTTGGTGAAAGTAAACATCTGCTTTTAAATTATATTTATATGTAAACATAGTAGATCAAAAAGTCTGACATTGGCCCACTTAAAACCCTCTGGGGCAGAGCCCTTTTGACGGATCTGCACCAAACTTCACTCGAACCATCCTTGAAAGATGCTTAATAATGCCTTAAAGTTTCATTACAATCTGTCGAGTGGTTTCGGAGTCCATAACGTATATACATACACACACACATACATAGTTCCTCTTTTATAGATATAGATAGCTAGGATAGGAAAATATTTTAATGCATAACAATAAAATTCAAGCGCACAGCTAAATTCTAACGTTGAAAGTTGAGCACTTAATGTTATTTAAATGGGTCTTATTACTTCACTAGTGAGCTTTTGAAACTTTACTTCACTCGTGAAGTAAAGAAGTTGTTTTCATCACGCTTGGGATAGGGAAGTTTAACATTCGCATTAATTGGGTTGGGTAATAGCTATTTACCTTACAAGTGTAGTAAGAGCGTTTTTACATCACGAGGTTGGACGTTGTGCAACGAGCGGAAGCGAGCTGCATAATTCACCTAATAATGTGAACACGCTCTTGCGTAACGTGTGACGAACAAGATTTTACTTGACCCGACAATATACAGGGGGTTACGTATTTTTTTATTGTCAATTTCACTCATCTTCTAAGAGTAACGTTCTTTTACAAACAAAATTTAGGTCATGGAAATTCTTTAAAGCATAACAATAAAATGCAAGCGCACAGCTGATTTCTTGGGGCCTTGTCATACGAGCGCTATTGCCGTCGGCGAGTCCGCGTTTAGCCAGACGCTGAGCTCAACCAACGCCGTGTAGTCCTATTCCGCCCGAGTTTTCTTTCGCCCGGAGCCTAATTACTCCCAATTCGCCCGCGGTCACAGATTAACCCCTATAATCCTCAGCTCTACCTGCGTCAGGAGTCCTATTCCATCCACGGAGGACCCCACCCACCCCCAGATAATGTAGCTATATAAAAGCCCTCCCCTACCCATCACCCCTACCACTTTATGATCTAGAACTTTCCTTTGGGTTGAAACGCTTCAACAGTTATCTATATTGATAAATGCTTACGACATAACAGATTAATAAAATTTACTGTCCATGAACTGTTAGTTACTGTACGGTAACTGTATGTTTCTGTACGGCAAACAGAAACATATGATAACACTGCAATCCAAGACATGGCCAAACAAAGGCCACTAGTTAGCTGCTTCTAGTGTTAAATTTCCAACTGCACACCTTTGAGTTTTCTTTATTATACAATGTAAATAATTCGCCTATTGGGTCTGATGATGATTGGAGTGTCGAATCAAACTCGATCACCATTTGCCATCTTTTATGTATATTTATCGTCTGGTGAGATAATAGTATAAGAGCACAAATATATATTTTAAGTGTTATTAGACGTTTTTTTCGTATACAATGTAATATAGTAGTTCACGCAAGGAATACGTTAAGATAGTGTCGTTTACTTTATTTACGCAAGTTGCGTACACTACTTCAGTGTTACTGTATTTTGGAGTAGTGACAGTGTAAATGGACCAAAAAGTAATGACAATGTAAAGAAAAATATTGTTCGTAACTCGTCCTAAAACTAATATTTTAGTGCATTATGAAAACGCTGCTCCATCGATATTTAAAATCAATGTTTTCAAACAACAGTAATGAAAACATTGATGAAGACTTAGTATAACCTAAAATAATGCGGTCTTATTTTGAAACAATCAGAGGGTTATTTTCACAGAATGATGGTTGTTAGACAGTTATGCTTGTTTAAATTAAAATGAAAATTTACAACATCTTATGAATCCTCGTTTGAGCATTTAAATTCGTCAAGTACGGTATAAAAATTATTCTTTAACCATAGAAAAGAAACAATTTAACCTCGACTTCAGTATTGATAAAAAAAGAGATGTATTACGAAAAATTGTTTGACAAGGAAAATGTTATTCAAGATATTGTTTACATACCTTTGCCACGGTTATGTTGTCTTCTTGTCGAACCCTCTTCTTTGCGTTAGCAATAGCTTTTTTCACTTCCAACTTTGCAACGTCCGGAATACATTGATGAGCTTTTCCCTCAACACTACTTCTTCCTTAACAATCACCTTTCCGAGACAACCTCCGTTAAACGATATACTACACCACCAGATCACTTCACCAGATTTATTCTCGCGTTTTTTAATAGCCATACCCGTTGTAAATAAGACTAAGCGCACCTCTATTAGTAGTTGTGTACTCCATCGCGATGTGTAACAGTCAACGGCACATATGGAAATGAGATTTAGCTCTCATCTCCCCAAAAAGAAGCATACCGATGACGAATCCTGAATGACCACCCTCTCTTGGAAAAATGCGAAACTCTGCTATTTCTCCCCTGTTATTTCTCACGGACAACGCTTGGACATTCCAAGTCAACATCCCTCGCGCTTCATTCACATCCTGTCTGGTTATTAATAAGAAAATATTGTCGTAGGTAAAGTAGTGTACGCAACTCGCGTAAAAAGAGTAAACGACACTATCTTAACGCATTCCTTGCATAAACTACTACATTACATTGTATATGAAAAGTAAAAAAAGATAGTCTAATAACACTTAAAACTTTTGTGCTCTCATACTGTTATCTCATCAGACAATAAATTTACATAAAAGATAGCAAATGGTGATCGAGTTCGATTCGACACTCCAATCATCATCAAACCCAATAGGTGAATTATTTACATTGCATAATAAAGAAAACTCAAAGGTTTGCAGTTGGGTATTTAACACTAGAAGCCGCTAACTAGTGGCCTTTGTTTGGCCATGTCTTGGATTGCAGTGTTATCTATCATATGTTTCTGTTTGTCGTTAAACGCAATATTTTAAATAATTAAATTGTTTATTTGCACATTTTGGATAGGGAGACAAACATACAGTAACTAACAGCACATAGGTAGCAAATCTTATTAATCTGTTATGTCGTAAACATGTATCAATATCACTGTTGAAGCGTTTCAACGCAAAGGAAAGTTCCAGATTATAAAGATTTAACATATCTTTACAACGGCTTCATCAATAAGGGCACATGCCCCTTTATATTTTAATGCTTAAAACTTCGTGTTTAAACTTTAAATTAATATAAAGGAAATTCACTTGGTTTGTCTGGTTTGTCAAATAAATATTTTAAGCTTAAATAACCGAGTAGTCGGAGGTGGATAACGGGGTGATGGGTAGGGGAGGGCTTTTACATAGTTGGGGGTGGGCGGGGTCCTCTGTGGATGGAATAGGACTCCTGACGAAGGTAGAGCTGAGGATTATAGGGGATAATCTGGGACCGCGGGCGAATTGGGAGTAATTAGGTTCCGGGCGAAATAAAACTCGGGCGGAATAGGACATAACCAGCCAACGCGGACGGTCGCGCTAGCGACGCGACGCACGTGACGCACGGACCCTGTCATACGGAGCGCTAGCGCCAGCGGGACGCATTTGCCGCGTGAGCACTGGCAGAACAACTGGAACACCTTTGGAGTGATCATTACGATATTTGATACGATGTTTGATACGGAAAAATGTATTTATTTAGTTGAAAAACTGCCATCTCCGTACGATGTAAAGTCGAGTGATTACATTTATCTTCATACTTCCTGTGTTCCTGGAACTTCAGATGAAACTGTCCTGTCGACAAACGAGAATAAAGCACAGGATGGGTTCCCCATCGTTTTGGATTCTTCCGATAATACTCTTCATATTTATCTAAAATGTGCAAAAAGCTGATACAACCTAACTAGATGGTGTCCATCTTAGTAATAACATAATTGCCGCGACGGCAAATGCGCCCGGAAGACGCTACGTATGACATGTACTTTTTCCGGCGCTATCTCGACGGCATCTGCGCGACTGCAATAGCACTCGTATGACATGGCCCTAGCGTTAAACGTCGTTGGTTCCATAGAGGTAATTCTTTTTTAAGTTGAACACTCAATGTTATTTAAATGGGTTTCATTACTTCACCGAGTGAGTTTTTGAAACTTTACTTCTTTCGGGAAATAAAGAAGTTGTTTACATGACGATGATTGGGATATGGAAGTTATCATGGCGGGTTAGGTAAAAAAATAAACAGTATGGTACAACCTTTACAACTGAGATTTGCTTGAATAATCATAATCAATGAGGGTGTATTTCAACAGTTTTTACAGTAGATTTAAAGAACCGCGTTATTATCCTCCGCATTCTCATCCCGTTGTAAAGCACGGGCAAAGCAAATTAGTATTTATGAACCTGCTAGGTTTGACTTGAAACAGAATGCAGAGAAGCTGTGTTACAGAATCCTTCTTTAAAACAATGGTTTTTAACTAAAATATAATAAATTATTATAAGAATATGCTTCAAACTGAAACAAGTGATACTGTTTTATTCCTTTATGTTTTGGATTTTGGCTTGCAAAATTTTCAAAAATATAAATTTGAAGAGAATTTAGTTCCTATTCATAAAAGTTGGAGCAATTTATTAGTTGCGTTTTAGATAATAAATTCTAAAAAAATCTATTAGCTACGTAGACTTCTTTGTAAACTTACAAGAGACACCCTACTTGATTACTTGATACTTACTTCATTTTGAGACATCTTAGTTTGCCCTGGTGCCAATGCCTTTAAACAAACAAAATCGTTTGTTAATTATTGTTCTACGAAAACCGGACATTTTCGTAAAAGAATTATGTGTCAATTGATATTTTTTTCGAAATCCTAATCCAAGTAAGAGTTCACGAAAGGGAAGACACTTTTTTAGAAGAATCAAATTTTAACTTCAGAGTAATATTTTTAAAACAAAATAGGAATAATGTGAGGCATACTCTTTGGATATAGAGTTCTGATAACAGATTGGCTGTCTTTAGAATATTTCTAGTTTTATACATGTATTCTCAATAATTGTGTACCTAATTTGTAAGCGTACAGGTTTCGTTATTAACAGAAAAGTTATGTCTAATAAATTACGGTTTGCCTGTACATTGCGTAGAATCATGAAGATTCGTCATTATATCCCCAAAAAGCAGGAACAATGTCTGTCGGTCTGTTTGTCTGTATGTCATTGTGTCTGTAACGCCATAATTCTAATTTACAAGCCTACTCAGAGAAAATTATAGTAATGTACCGATCACGATTTTAATAGTTTAATTGTATTCACAGAATTGGCGAGAATGTCTTTAGATATTCAAATTTGGGCTCGGAAATAAAATAACGGACGTTCAAAACCCCAATTTTGTGAATTTTCAACTGTTCTCTTAATGTTTACTTCTTACGTACTAATCATCTGTTCAGAGACTTCGTCATCTATAAAATAACGATCAGCTGTTATGTTGTTTACAAAATACTGCAACGATCTCCGATTACGTTTCGTCAGCGAATCCATAAACAAAATATCAAGTTAAATTAATAACCTTGTGACTTTTTATAACGGAATTAATTAATTGCAAGTAAGCCTACAATAATGTGTAACTGCCAATGAAAATAAATAAATAGGCATCATCCAGGTCGGGAACCGGAGATTCTGCGTGAAACAAATTGTACTTAAGTTTTGACAACCGGAGAAAAGGCTGTGAATCAGTGTTGTTTAGGACTGAGAAACTTATATTTTTAAACATTCGGCTCCAATAGCCTACAACCGAGGCTTCCACTCGTTAACGGTATTTTAATGGCTTTCGACTACGACATTTTATGGATTAAGATATTTTAATATCTAGTTATTATGAATTAATGAGTACTTAAGACATATAGTTACAAATCAAACTGTCCAGTTTTCTTCTATATCAAATTGGTTTGTAATTAATGTTTAAAAAAAGAAATAACTTTTTTCAAATTCAAAATGAATATGAAAACCATTGATCATAATATAGTAAAACAAATTCAATATCTTTTTTTTATTGGGACTTTAGTAACAGAAAATTTAGATTATGTGTTGCTCAATTATAATTTATTTTTGTAAATGTACCAAAACTAAAAACTACTAGGTGAACCCACAAACTTACTCCACAAAATTTTACCAACATTTTATTAGAGCAGTTTAATAACCATGCTAAGCAATATTGATAAATCCTAAAACTTGCCTTCAACATGTTGATATTTGAATCAAAAGGCCCAAGTTGACCAACTGGTCCACCATGTATTTCCTCCTGGATGAGCCGCATCTTTTGTTTTAGACCTCTGATTATTCCTTGAATTTGTTCTGGATTAGGCAAATTGCCCTTTTTTAGGTCCAGGAATGGACCATGCCCATCTTCAATAGAGGGTCCCATTCCATCGCCAGGAAGAGTAACTCTTACAATTCTTCTCTTCAATAAGACACCAGACTTAAGTGGCATTTGGTAACCTCGGGACTGAAAAAGTATGGTTAAATTTACAGTAGAATCTTTATATCTGAAATGTCTATATTTATATAACATAGCAGTGCATCCGCAGCAATGTATCTCAAGTATATAAGATTGCACATGCTCATTACTATACTGAACACAATATTTCTTGCTCACTTTAATAAGATAATGGAGAAGACTATTCTTGTTTAGAATTTGTGTGTGTATAACGTGTTTTGTGCTAACATGAGTAGTTTCTGAGATATTCAATAAACACCAAAAAAAGTAAAAAAGTATCATTTTTCCAACTTTTACCACCAACCCCCCCCCCTCCCACTGAGGACTGTTCTGAACAGCTTGGAGTCAAAAGTGGGTAATTCTGATATTTTACTTCTGTCATGAGGATGTTCTCAGAAAACAAGAAACATACAATTTAAGCTCCGCAAGGCCATCGTACAGGTTGCCGTGGAAGGCCAGTTGTGACAGTACCGTTATGTTATGTTAGGTTAGGTTAGGTTATGCATTAACCTAACCTTGCGGGGCTTGAATTATATGTTTCTGGTTTTCTGAAAACATCCTTCTGACCGTAGTAAAATATGAAAAAAGTTAGGGGTTGACCAAGTAATTGCTCAGAATTACCCAAGAGTGCTTTGACTTTAGATCGGCTATCTGCAGTGTACCAAATAGTTTTTAGATTTTTCTTTTAGCCTATTTTTGCAAAAACAACGGTTTGATTATATAAAATAGCCTAGTATATTTACCACATTTTGATATATTTCATATTTAGGCCTACAGCAATTCATTTTTAAATGTCTAATGTAAAATTCAATCCATACTGCATTTCTTATGTTAAGTACAGTAGTTTGATAACGTGTTCTTACCTTTTGTGGTTGAATGACCATGGCCATTGTTTGCTGTGAACACAATAGATGAAAAGGTTAGATTTTATTAATTCAAAACCAGCTTAACTAAATTTTTTAGATGAAATATATAGTTTTTGTTATGATTTTTTATCTTGTCCAAAATCGTTTGGTAATTGGCTGAGTACTCAGGTTTGCAATAATGCACAACTGTAACTTTTCACACAAACTATCTATTTTACAACAGTTAGGCTAATTGTAACAGCTAATATTAAAATAAAGAATTCGAATAGACAATTTGAGTTTTTTTCCGTATTACTGGTTTTATTAAGGTACATATTTCGAAAGTAATATAGCATGAGCAACAAGTTCTAAAGTGTCACCAAGTGTGTACTTTAATCATTTGTATAATAGGTTTTTAAGGAGATCCCATCATATTTTAGATCCAAGAAATGGATAACCTTGAACACAGGACAAAAATAATATTTTAAGTCTAGTTTCACTGAAAATAGATTCCTTAAAAAAATATTTCAATAAACTAATCACTAGCATAAACCTAATTTTGGTCTGAATATACTTAGTGTGCGTTAAACAATTTTCCATCTCCAAATCTTAAAACATTACGACGGTTAGAAGATTTTATGGCTTTTGATTTTAAGTATTACTATTTTGAGATGCTAGGGGACTACTATTTGACTCGGTAAATAAAATAAAAAAGAGGATGATTTGAAATTGAACATAGTGAAGAGTCCACTTACTCTGGCAACGTTTGAAGTGTTCTCTACTGGAGTTACCCACTCGCTAGATCTGTCCTGCTACAAGTCAATATTAATCATACTAAAACAGGTGTCTTACACAAAATATGGAATAATATTAGGCTATACACTATATTACAGAGAGGATTTCAATCGGAAAACACAAAGTTAAAAAGCTAACTTTCTCTTTAAGAACTCGTTTGACGGCAATTCTCTTATTTCAGCCAAAGCTTTATAGTGGCCTTCACCAAAATGTAGCCCTTTCAAAATGTCCCGGGCCTTATGAGGAATGGCATTTTTTCATTAATGTCTTCAATCAATTTGTAACATAATTAAATTTTTTCTTTTTTATAACTAGATACTATATTATTTAGGGACGATTTTTTCAAACGGACCCCTATTTAGAAGCAGTGTGAGGCCCTGCTTCATGACAAGACAAGCTTATTTAATGTTGGCATCCCTGGTTGCCTTTTCAAAAGCTCAAAATTAGAGTTTGGTACGTGTTTCAGGTGAACGTTTTATTTTTATTATTTTGTTTTTCTAGATACAGTTTTCGTAACTATTTTACAAGCCAATAAAGAGTTGGTTAATTGACTTAATAATAGTTGAACAAGGAGCACAACTGGAAACTTAATTTCAAACCTTTCTTGACACTAAATCAATCTTTTTCGCTGTTAAGGAATTCACAATACCTACTCTTCCGGCCTTGCGAAAACACCATATTGGGGTTTATTCCCAATAATTCCTAAAATCACCAAACCTCATAGATAACTAACTACACCACAATGCATACTAGCTGATCGGCAATGAAATAAGAAAACCAGGGATACCATTATAATACATTGGTATATTACATAATAATATTGGTATGGTATCCTTATATATAATACGTGAAGGCGATTTCTTGAAAACACTACTCCTCCGTTAATAATGGACGGATTTTTACAAACGACGTGTCAAAATAAAATATTTTTTGTGTAGACACCCCCTTTCACCAATTCATGTAGTAAAAATCCTCGGGCTTTGCCCCACAGGCCATCAAAGTTGGAGTTTCTCCCATAAGATTAACATGGGGGAATCTAAATATTTGATTGGAAACTTTGTCCCCACTAATTTGAGAGAACGGTTGGGCGTAGAAACTTGGTAGAGGTGTCCAAAGAAAGGTCTTGGTCTGTAGATGAGTTATGAAAAGAAAAACTAAGCAAAATCCCTTAGGACTCTGCCCCAGAAGCCTTTAAAGATCCCTCCACAGAGTTGTTTACATTTTGGCCATGAGAATAATACTTTTTAATGAAACAGCTGTTCATTTTTAAATTGTATTTCAAATAACACATATTTATTGGGAGTTGAATTCTACCAAATAAGTATTTGCAATGTTATTTTCTGATTTTAAAATTGATTTTCTTCTTTATCATGCCATGTTTTGCAATATAACGTTCCATTACGAAATCAGTGGAAAATCCTTTTATCACAGCAGTTCTTAAATTATATCTTATTGAACTATCTTATATCTATTGTACGGGTTGGTATGTGCCTTTTTCGCCACTTTTGCCTACATTTTATCATATTATTCTACAAAATATCAAATATTTATGTAGAAATATCTGCTCTTATTGTGTCTAATAAAATCCAAACTTAGAAACATTGCCTAAAATGGTACCTATCTTGACAAATAATTTGCACCAGCCTATATTACGGACTTTGGCGCACTGAATTAGTAACATTATTGAAAATAACACGACATTTTGGCTGTAAAATATGGTACAAAGAGAAAATACTATTTAAGCAGCTACTGTCATGACAGAAAGGTCATATTCCTTTTAAACTAGATCACATAATCCTTTGACTGGGACGGGTGGCGTCGTCCTGTAATCCAGCTACTAGGAGGTCACGAATTGTGGATATTTATAGGAATGCACTGTGGATGCGATACTCCCTGGTGTGGATTAACGTCCGCACGAGTGAGTACTACGACTACCCGCAGTGCTATCCTGATAATTATACCAATTCATAAATACCAATGCAAAAAAAAATTTGGTTCCAATTCAACTATAAACTGTAGATCCCTTGGTTGCCATTCGCTGTATGGGCTATTAATTAACAGCTGTATCTAAGGAATGTCGGCCTTAGTAACTAACAAGACTTCAAGATCGCGCCACTCTTCCTACACTCATCTCCATTCATACTTGGCTTACCTACTATGAATGGTCGCCATAAAAAAACGTATTAAAGGATTAAAGTATTTATCATATACGTTGATTAACAATATGTAAACGTCAATATATACTTAACAGCCATTTTACAGTATTTTTGCTTTTTGGAAATGTTCAATTGCTATGTCATTTGCATTATTTATTGCCAATGAAGCCGCCAAGATCAAATGAACTAGGAGGCCCCTAACAGTTCAAGAATAAAAGCCAACTTCATGCATTCCACTACACCTAACATTCCGTAGAGAGATTATATTGACAACTTTATGTTATTGATAAGGCCGAGACCGAGACAACTAACTGACATCCCCCATGTCAAGGAATTCCAGCTTTATCAGTAACCCCACAGTCAATTTCTCAAAACTATGCTAGAGGGTTCATTCATTGGCATAGAAGTACGATATGAACTGACGCGACGTGACGAAGGAAAATCAAACTTACACTGTAACGGATATACCTCCCTTTGAAGTTAGAACGTGTCTTCTCAACATATATTTTTTCTCAAACACTGATGAAATCACGGAAGTGTTTAGCTACAAAAGATCCACCAATACGATTTAAATACTATTTAAAGGTTCTACCAAAGGAAGATATACCATATAACATACTAATAATAACTCCGATGACGTACAGGATAGGAAATATTTTAATCATTGAATGAACAACCAAATTTGGCAACTAACGCAATATTGTTATTGTTTTTACACTTACTCTTTGAACAATGTTAAATGCTCAAAATATGTATATTTCACCCAATTCATCGCAGTTAGATGAATTAACGTAAGCCTTGAAAGTAACCGTCGATTTCGACGGGTTTCCCCTAGTATTATATAAATATATTCCAAGCACTTTTTATTATGTACTTGTCTTGTCGTTAAAAAGTGTCTTGTAGTACTCTTGTGATTTGGGTTGGGTTAAAAGAAACACTCCGTATTATTCATCTACATGTAAGTATTTTGATACTTAAGTTAACTTACCATTTTGTCAAGTGAATATTATCTGAATTTTGAATCACACTGCAAAAAGAAATCAAATAGGCCTATTTAAGTTTTGATACGAACAATACTATTACAAAATTGAGTTTCTTTCACATAAACATGTTAATTTTTTCAACCAACCTTTATGAATTATTTTTTCAAATTAGTATTAATTCCAATATAAACAGTTCTTCTTGAAGAACCTTTATGAAGTTTAATATTTACTTTGTGGCTACGTATACATCTAACGGCTACCCATTGGTTACACATCAGTATTCAATGCATTTCACCAAATTATTTCAACTTATTGATTTTGTTGTAGGTACAGTATAACCATGACTCTACACTTTTGTCCTCTTTCATCTCAGGGAAAATTGATAAAAATACTTATTTTCTTGTTATAAAGAGGCTATGCCATTGGTAATAAAAGAATAGGAGTTGTTTTGGAGGATTATCATTTGCGGCACGCGGATGGTTGCAAGCCTTTAGTGCCTGTCTTATTCTGATTGCATCCTAGTTTTCAGGGAATTTCCTTATACGGAAGTATCTATTGAACAAGCAAACAGTAGTCACGAACTCTTGAAATCCCAATTCAGAACACATTTAATTCTTTTCATCCTGACATTTTCCTCTTTTTGAAAAACTGGGCCAGTTTTACCACTAGCCTACTGTTAGTTATAATCAATATATAAAAGACGGATTGGCCTTTAAAGTATTATAAGTAACACAGCCTACTTAAACAGTTTAAGAACTTAGCTTACAAAGAGGTAGATGCATAAGGCTTACGAGGCACCCTGTGTAATCATAACGCGGGCTTGACATTTGTAGACCATTCTCTGCTATGATAACTATAACACAGTTGAGTATGTAACTTTGATAGTTGTTATTTTGATTAGGGTTAAATGGATTAGCTTGCATTTGAATAGTTTTTTTTTTATGTTGGAAGACTACTGTCATCATAGCAACATACTATCGTTCAACTACTATAGTATTGAGTAAAAAAAAATATATATGCATGGGTAGGGTCTACTTAAAAAAAAATACGTACCTATCAGTTGAAGATAAAACTCCAAGATGGCTATAATAACTTAAATTTTGAACTCTTTCTTGATAATTTTAGATCTTGTGGAACAATTAATTATACTTCGAATTTGTACCTTGACTTTTATTTGTGTTTTGATGTTATTGAAATGTTGTGTTTTTATATTTATTTATTGAGAAATCATATGGTAATGAGACAAATCACAAAACAATTGAAAAAGGGGAAACCATGGATCATAACAACTTAGTTTAAGTATTGACTTTAGATTCCGTACTACCAATAGGTAGATACTATCCTAATGTAAAACATGATAAGTTTAAAAAGTAAAAAAGTTTGCAAAGTATTTTCTTTCTCAAAAAAATAAAGTTGACTAAAGATTAGGATGAAATTCAAATTAAGATATCGAAATGAACATTTAAAATTGTTGCCCAGCATCTGACTGCAAATAATAAAACAATACCTACGAAGTAGTATTTTTTTCTTATCAATAAACATTTGCTGGAGTCAAACCTGTTTTTAAGAATATGGTTGCAAAAGAATCTTGAGAATTACCGCCTAATCTTTATATCTTACCCGCATTTGCAAAAGTATTTGAAAAATTATCGAGGGTGCAAATTAATTTTTTTTTCATGAGGTAATATTTTTACCAGGTTCTGTCTAGCTTCCTGTGGGGATTTGGCACTTGCTTGGGCACATCAAAGAATGTTGCGGTAATAGCTTATCCCTTGAATAGGAAATTCGCTAACAAATTGGTCTAATTATCAATTTATACGAAACAATAGAAACTAATTTAGCTAATAGCTAATTTAGAAACTGCATTTAGCTTGCTATGGTAACAACTATAGCTTCATATGTTCATAACATTCTCCCCCACTTAATCGCTGGAGAGCAAAGTCCTGAAGATAGGACGGAACCTTGCGTTGTCTGGAAGGACGAGTTAATTTATTTTCTTTTTGTTCTGTGACTTGAGGTCTGTCTAGATTTTCTTCCCTTAGAGTACCGTCTAGTTCTGTTGGATTATTTGTATCTGATTCAGACTCTGGGTGGATCTCTTGTGGTGGTGGTTGGAACAACAGAACTATTTTGTTTGTTGTGTGTTATAAAGGTAACTTTCTTCTTAGATACAAAAGTCGATATCAATTGATTTATGTGTCTTTTTAAACTTTGTCCAGAATCCAATTCAACAATGTAATGGTATTGACCTAATTTTCTCTTGACTGTACCAAATTGCCATATGTCTTTATTTCCCAGGTGAACTCTTGCCTGAACCCTCTCCCCCACTTTAAGAGAGCGGACGCGAAGAGGAGCAATTGATTTTGATGGAAGTTTTGCCTTTGGGTTAGGGAGAAGTGTGTTAAGTCTAATCTGAATCTTCCTGTTCAAATACAACTCTGCTGGAGTCGTGCCTGATACCAAATGTGTTGCTCGATATTTGAACTTAATGTTTTGTAACTTTGAAGTAATTGGGGTTGGATCATCGGCAGCAGCAATAAGTCTTCTCTTTAAAGTTTGTATGTTTCGTTCCGCCAGGCCATTTGTTGCAGGATGGTTAGGGGCAGTACATTTTTGGAAAATCCCACCCTCTACAGTAGTTGATAAATTCCTCACTTTTGAATATAGTGGCATTGTCCGAGACCAAGAACGAGGGGTACCCATGGATCGAGAAAATGTCTTCAAGTAGTGCCATCGTCGTTGCTGAGGAAGGAGCATTTCGAAGAATGCGAACTTCTGCCCACTTTGATTTAGCATCTCCACACATGAGGAAATAATTTCCATCCAATGGACCAGCATAATCAATATGCACTCTTTCCCAGTTATCATCGGGCTGATCCCACGGATGTACCGAGGCTTTTGGTGGATTGTGACGAACTTTAGCACAAGCTTCACAGCTTTTCACTAGTCTTTCTATGTCTTTGTCCATACCTTCCCAATGTACACATTTTCTAGCAAGCTGTTTCATTTGAGTAATTCCGAGGTGTGATTCATGGACCTCATTTAGAATTCGATTTTGAAGACATTTTGGAATTACGACTCGATCTGATCGGAAAAGTATGTTGTCTGAGATCATATAAGGGCTATCTTTGCAACTATTTTTCAGTTCATACAAAAGAACTTGTAGCTCAGGGTCTTTTGCTGTTTCTTCTTTTATCGTTTCTGCCGTTATCACTGTGCTGGAGATTTGAAGTAAGGTTTATTCTGCATTGATTGTGTTTATTTCTTTGTCGAATGTTAGTTCAGATAAAATTGATGATTGAACTGGGCTTCGAGACAAACAATCCACGTTTTCATTGTCTTTCCCTTTCTTGCATCGAACTGCATAAGACCACTGAGGAATGAAGAATAACGCAATAAGCGAGATGATGTCATTCGTGGCAGGGCACGTCCTGGATGAAAAATATGTGACAATGGTTCATTATCGGTGACGAGAGTGAATCTGTTACCAACAACGTAATTATAAAAATGGGTGACTGCGTAGATGATTGCTAGAGCTTCTCCATCAAGTTGGCTGTAATTGGTTTCAGCCTGAGTCAATGCTCTGGATGAATATGCAATTGGTCTCTCTTGACCATCGATATCATGACTGAGTATTGCAGCAATTCCAGTTGGGCTAGCATCTGTTGTGGGAATAACTGGTTTTGATGGGTCGAAAGCAGCGAGCACATAATAATAATAATAATAATAATAGAGATGACACGGCGTTTAACCAAATACACTGAAGTGTGGCCAAATCCGCCATCTTGGTCCGTCATACAGCCTGACCCGCGAGCTCAGTTCGCATTAAAAACCCCGCGACAAATACACGATCATAAACAACATTAATAGTTGACAAACAATTCCGAAATTTTGCACACTTGTAGATATGATACTGAGGAAAACGATGGTGTTAATATAAAATTATTAGTTATGATAGTAATTCAGTTATAAATATGTTTAACACTTATGTAGCTTAATTTTTCAGATTCAGACATGAAAAAGTTGTATTGCGAGGAAATTTTTTATTTTTTTTTTCAGAGAAATTTCGTTAGAGGGAAAGTTGTGGATAAATAACCAAATTTAACTATCCGATTCACCAAAAGTTTTTATCATGTTCGGTTTTCTAAAAATTTAGGTACAAAAGAGATCCATTGCCGCTGCTTCGCGCCACGCCCGGCGGGCCGTCGTCTATACATTTTAGCATGCAGTGTTTTAATGTTTTATTTATACTGTTGTACTGTAATCTATACTATTATCTATATCTATACTTCTATACTATTATATAAAAATCTAATGGTGTCTGTCTGTATGTGTATTACTAATAGGTGCAAAAACTACTGAACCAACTGGGCTAAAAGTTTACAAAAATATAGTTACCATACCAAGGACCATTATAGGACTATTCAAATTTCGATACTGACCGTAGGCTTTGCCCCTTTGGCTTTAAAAGTACTGAGGCGAAGATTTTAAAAGTAAATATTGATTGCTCTCTATGGCTGCGATGAGAACACTAACAATGTTTGTTTACATTTGCTTTGACTTTTAAATGTAAACAAGAATAACTGCTAAACTGCATTAATCTAAATTTTTATCATGGATTATTTATTCTAAAACTATGTCAATGATTATATAAAAAAATATTCTATAACCGTTGCTGTATCAACTCCGGCTCTGCTTTGGATTTTTTAAAGCGTCTAAGCTATGAAAATAATGTTATTGATATGATTTCATGGAAACAGTATGAAAATTAAAATGTATAGATGTTTTATATAAATTTGGGGGCTACTTTAAATAAATTCTAACTGCTTAACATGTGTTAGATTACTTAACATAACTTGCACATCACATTGTTTTTTATATATATATTTAGGTAAATTATGTTATTGTGTTTTGCTAAACCTATGCTTAAATTAAACTAAAGAATATCATCAATAACTAAATTGTAAGTCGTTGATTTTTTTTATCTGTTGTTTAATATGTGTAACTATAATTGATTATCAAATGGTAATACAAAATACTCTTATTTTATCTTAACATAGCTTCCAGTTCACATTTTCACATTTACTTTATTTGATAAATTTATTATTTTTTGTTTTGCTACACCACTGATTAAATTAAACCAAGGAAACTATCATAAAACTAAGCAGTAGCTTACACAGTGTTCTTTTGTTTCTAAAATCAATGAAATATCTGTTACTATGTTTACTATGGTAAGTGTGAAAATGTAAAGGCAATGGGATGGAACTGATTAAAAGAACTCGTTTGTATATTAAGTTGATATTTTTGTAGAGTAGAATCAGAGATGCAATGAAACATACTGTATTTGCTGTTAATTTTTTTAGTCCTTGATGCTTTGATAATCATATTAGTTTTGTCTGCTGTCTTTAATGCTAAATTATTTTTTTTAATTTTTTATAGTAGGGCCTACCTATAGATATAGTTTCTTTAATATTTCAAAAGAATGTATTGACAAGGCACAGCAATATTTCTGAAGTTTATAACAGCTTACTTAGTTTTGCTAATGATTTATTGTGAGTGAAGAAACTGGAGATGGAAGGATTTGTGATTTAAGAAGAGTGAAATTTTAAAAAAATGTTCATTTAAATTGAACTAGTGAACCTGTGCGGCTCAACGCCCCGCAAAAACATATGAATTTAGAGAACAAATTCATCGTGTTATATATTGACTCGTCGAAAATTAAATACAGTAATAATAAAGCATTAGAAGGAAAGCAATCTAGCCATTTTCTAGCTGTATGTGTATTATATTTAGTAAATTAATAAGTGTTCAAGTTCAAGTATATTACAGGGTAGTTATTTTTTTTAGATTTTTAAAAACACATTTAACAACACATTTTATCATATCAAACCAATAGGCATTGGATGTAGCATATACCTATGTAGCATATTATGAGGGTCATAAAATGCTGCTTTAAAAATAAACACTAAAAAACAATATTTTTTTCACAAAAGCACTTCCATAAATACTACGATTTTAGTCTTAAAGTTACGTTCAGGAATATTACCCTGGTCAGAATTTTCTGTAATGAATATGCTTATCCTACTATTAAAAGATGTAGCCTTACTTAAAACAACATATACAGTATATATTTGCTCATGACTGAAATTGGTCTGGCTAAGAACACCGCTGCTCTTTAATTAAAGTGCTTGTGCTGCAAATGCCAAAGATAACAGAAATTAGCACCTTTCCATTTTAAAAGGTAAGTTTGTTTCAGACAGGCAAATTTGTTGTCCTCGAAATCAAAGTATGTCCTTACTCACTTGTTCCATGTTAGGACTTAACATTCTACTTTACATTGTTGTTAACCGTTCTGATCATATGAAGCCTTGTGCCATTAATGAGGCCCTTTTTGATGTATTAATATCAATCAAACCACTGCCTCCTTTTATTAGTATAATCTGTGTCTTGGCAATCCACTGACCTCTATAGGTATTTAAAAACTCAGTTGGATTTTCTAGATGGGTGCCTCTGCCTTCGACTGTTTTCGAGAACCCACTCTTCCCTTTGGCATACTGACAATTGATTACCTAACTTGTAAAGTTCATGTAGTAATTTATTAATACTGTTAGTTTATAAAGAAAATTAGATAAAAGGTACTTGGCTTGGTGCTTTCATAACTGCAAACTCAAAATACACCCACAAGTAAAAAAGAATCAAGTTATTGGTTAAAAAAACCATGTTTGTGTAAAAACATTATTCATATGAAGTATATGATTTGTTTGATTTCTCGATCAGCTGTTTCGTTTCTAATGAATTAATAATGTCAAAGATTTGTGATTTTAAATACATCAATTATTATAGTTGAGTTTTTTTATATGGTAACTTATTCTCAACTAAATTTTACTATTCCCAGCATGAAAATAAAGTAGTGAGATCCATTATGAGTAAAGTTTAGGGCACACAAACCTTGATTGAAATTTAGTATACATTAACAGTCATAATACACAGCAATTATTATGTAGTAGACTTTGACTATTTTCAAGTAACAAACATATGTTTCTGTAAATAAAAGTAATCTCCCTTGTTATCCTTATGGAGAAATACGAAACTTTAAAGGGCCCCAGGGCCTCACTCTCTAATTATTTCCTTGAAAAGGAGGTTTCCTGCACAACTTCACGTTACGCTCTTTCCAATGACACCAAAAACATGTCAATCGGTTCAGTATTTTCGGAGGAGTAATTGTCACAAAAATCGTGCTTGCGTATTAAATAAGTACGAGAGCACGCCCCGTGGTCGAAACTCGACCAAAAATATGTAATGTACTCACTTCTCTATTTTCACCCCACACTGTAAATAAAACATGTGATTGGAGTTTCTTCCATTTGTTTTGATTTTCTGTTTATATTTCGTTGTTATTTCGTCACCAGCATGGCAACGCATAAGATCCATGTTAATTTTTTCATATTTTTAAACTCATTTTTTGCGCTTATCTTTGAGCCTATTTAAATTTATAAAGGGATTCTGCACACCTACAGGAAAATAGCTTTCTAACGGTATGCGTGGATTTTCCCTACGATGCACATGAGTTGAGAAAAAAGGTTTTAAAGAAACATGCTTGCCTATTAATATATAGATAGATAGATAATTAGTAGAAACTTCAAAATTGAAATTTAAAATGTCAATACAGTAATAAATAAAAATATATGTAATCAAGGGAGATGAAATGGTGGTATCCACTACTTACCAGATTTAAAAGTCATAACTTAAACGTTTCTATTAAGGCCATAAAAGTTGAATTTTGTTTCTAAAAGCGTTGGCGGATGTGTAAATATTATATGCAACAGATTTAAAGATTAAAATGTTTCTATTTTGTGTCCTCTTCCCGTTGCAAAGCACGGGTACAACAGCTAGTATTGTATATATTAAAGAAATTTTCAAACATATTGTCTATGAAGAATTTTCAACCGTTTAGCACAACTTTTTAAG